AATCACGTCACTTGTTTTAATTTTTCATTTTCACCTATCTACTTAAATTCAGTAATGCAAACATGAAAGAAATGAATAATGTCCGTTGTGCATAACGCAAATTTATCAAGAGTGCAAATAAATAAAGTTGGCGAAATTATTATCAAAATTATATGTACAGGTAAATCTTATCTCATCTTTTATTGATTTCCTTTTAGGATCATGTTAAGGTGAAGATCCAAGGTCCTTGCTAATCTGATATTCTCCAAGGCCGAAGGTTTTGACATACACCGAAATCTTTATACAAAAATTGAAGGTGTGAGCAACAAAGACGTTCATGCGTAGGTTAAGCCGTGAATGGTACGTTTAGTTCTTCGAAATTTATAACAACAGAAATAAACTTATCAGGAAACAAACGAAAATCGTCCGAGTGTAAACGAAGAAAGTATTTCCTTCCACTTAAAGCCAAAATCTTATGTTCAATATGTTATGTTTATAGTCTTTATGGCGTGTCGAGGGATATAGTTAAGGCATGCAGTTACACATGGTCAGTCCGTGAATGCTAGTATTTATCTTAAAGTAAACTGTTTTCCCCATTTCTTCTTTGTTACATTGTTTAAAAATATTAACATACATTTTCAAAGATTAATAATAATGTTATTAATTAGAGATTATATAACTCAATCAGTGACTGATCCTTCCAAGGCTTAAGAGTCGTTTGACAAGACAATTTTACGGTACTGTGTATAAGAGATTGATATGTAGATATAAAAAGGCAATGATGCAGTGGAAAGTATATTAAATTTATTTTTCTGCTTAACGCAATTTATAAAGGAAAACTTGACGTGACATTAATCTAACATCATCCTATACAGTTGTTGTGACGTCAGTATCTGCAAAGGGTATGGTGAAAAGGCATAACAGAAAATAAATGTAGTTAGCAGCTTTCTATTGTTTTTAAATGCACAACAAAATGTATATGATTTTTTGAGAAGTGATATTAAACAATTATTGCATGTTTTGCATCTTGTTTAAATTTTATTTGGGTATAAACGAACGAAACGATCAAACCTCGTATATATAAACTAAATCCCAGAAATATTTTTTTCAATACATATACCTTAAAATAATTCATTATGATGATGTTTAATTCTGGTTGGGTCTATAAAAAGGTACAAATGAACAATATTTCATTGAGTTATTTTAATAAATTGAGAAACCTATAGATAACTTAGCTGATAAAAACCATAAAGGTCACCAAACAATGTGAGAAAGAATGTTATGATAATATAAGTTATTAAGTTATCTTTATTCCTCAGACAGTTGCTATAAAGTATTTAAGATTGAATGAGTACACACTTTTCCCACATTTCTCTCCTGTCCATCCTGGTATGCAGCCGCTTGTACAGCGCCCATCAATATTGTTACATTCCTGTTTATCACATTGTTGGCTACATTTGTACCCACAACTGTATCCATACCTTCCACTGGAGCATGCTAAGAAAAATTATAAATAATAACCATTATAAACCCTTTAAAACATAACCAATGATTTTTCAGCATTTATACATGATTTTTCGATAGAAATCAATTTCTGATCGAATCTTATTTATTCAGCCTCGTTTCCAACATATCCATATCAGATAGATAATGTCCTCTATGTTGCCTTATTTTTATATACAGGGTAAAAAAATCTTATCAATTCCTTAATGTCTTTTAAATTAAAAAATACTTTCAAAATGATGAAGATATAAATAATGCTCGAATTTGATATGTGTAAGTATTAAAATTGCTACACTGTCTCTTTATAAAGTTTATAAATATAAAATCAAAATAATTCGACATATGCGGATTTTCCTAAATTCATAATTTCACCATTTTTCATGTTTTAAAGTTGGATTCTGCTAAGGCCGGTGCAAGGGCGAATATACGGTAACATGCACTTAAACAAAGTCTGCAATAATTTCAATTTTATCAATTTGGACTTTCTTCAGGGATTACGTTTTTCTCTATTTGTTTTTCACACCAAGTAGGTATGCTATGTTTTAATCACTTCACACTATAGGAGGCCACACAATGAATATACATTGTCATTAAAAACTGGCTGTTATTTAAGGAAAAAAAACAATTTTACTATACCTGTAATAGAGAATGCAGCTTCACATAGTTTGTACATTTTTTATTCTAATAAGACCAGTTCAGTAAGAATTTCATAGATTTTAAATAAATTTCTGCGATAAAAAATATTTTACTCAAAGATGACTTTAGAATATATTTTAAGAAATAATTGTTCTTCTTGCATACGAAAGTCCTTTCTGAATACGTATGCGAAAAGTTGTGCTTTACGCTATTAAGTCATACCAGGAAAAAAGTATTGCAATACTAATCATTTTTCAAGGAGGCACTTTGTTGGCATTGATATTTTTGCTTGACATGAACGGGTTTGATAATTGTTAGATGCAGGCGATGTATCCTCATTGCATTTATTGCCAGTGGACTTCCAGAAAGACGATGATGACGATAGGATCGATCCTCTGTTCGTGAAATTTTCTCAATAATCAGCTGATTGTTGACCAATATCTCTTACAAAAGTTCTCACGGACATATCCGCGTTATGAATGCCAATCAGGTATAATCATTCTGTTGTGTTGTTATTTATGGAATTTCTATGCTTGATAATAAGCTATGGAAGTGAACGTATATTTATGTATACTAAAATTAAATTTACTACATTATGTTGAAATTGGATGCACGACGAATGGATGAACTGACGAGCACTTGGTATACGTCTTGTAAGTGATGCAGGAATTGATGAACAATGCACTGCACACACAATGAGTTATACATGTCAAATAATAAGAGGTAAATGCACAACACAGTCGGGCCGGAGGGTGATAATCGAATATCTATTCAATAATTGAATAATTATTTATTCAGGACCAATAATCACCTTCCAGATAAATAAAATAGTAGCACAATTTTCAATTACTTTGATTTTCTTTCGTTAAAATCCTGTCTCTGTACTGTTCAGTTACTCAGAAAGAGTTACTTCCCTAATGTTTATTCAAAATTTACTAGAATCAAGAAGCTTGCTAGTTTTATTTTCACGAAAAAACATTGTTGAAGTCTTTGTCTGTAAATTTCAATAAACTGTTTGTACAAATTGTCCTAAGGTTGTAAACATGAAGATAAGCAATCCGCGGTATAAACCTACTTTCACTTCAGAGCTAGCTGTTTTGATGATGACAAATGTGAAGTCATTGTTACTGTTTTTGCATGTGCTCGCGTTCATCGGGTCGATTATGATATTACCCGCTCACTCACAATTGGTCACGTGACATAATCAGCCGCAATCATAGAAAAAACTTGTTACTATAAAAAGTTATAGTTATTACGTTACATTAATAGATATATCTTAAGTAATTATTTACTAGGTACTTTAATGACAAATAAAAAGTCGTGTGTTGCGACACAATTTGCCGAGTGCTTTACGGAAAATTTTCTGTTATTTTCTAATGGCGTGTTGCATTAAATTAGTAGAAATAGTTCAATTATAATTCAACCTACAGCTTTTGTTTTCACAGGACCACTTTATTAAATGAAACCAACTTAAATAACGAACTAAGAGATAAATCTCATAAAAAGTCTAAACGAAATATTACCTTGGTCACACAAAGGTCCTTTCCATCCATCCATGCATCCATGTTTGCAGTTTCCATCAACCTTGTTACAGTATGCTTTCCCGCCGTGACAATAGTCACTGCATTTCGTAGAACAGTTCTGACCATAATAACCTTCATCGCAAGCTGTATCATAAATATGATTTTATTTGTTATATGATTTAAAAGCACATTTAGTGTAAAATATAATAAATATGAAAGTTATCGATACAGACCAAGATTTCAATAGAAAAACAATAAAGTGATTTACAATTTCTTCAAATGTTTTGTCTAATATGTTTATCACATTATTAGCCTGTCTGTTCAGCAGCACGACCAGAATCATTATAAACATTTTCCATTAATATATCGGTTAATCACTTATATTGCCTTACAATAATTTGAATGTATCTAATCAAAATAACAATAACTATAATCTTTGTGACGAATATTGATTAATAATAAAATACTACATAAAATATTTATTAAATTACAGGTACGTATTGTTATTTGTATGGTATTAGAGATTACGAAAGAGTTCTAGAATAAAATATTTTGGTTTGGTGTGACCCTTTACATTTGAAATTTTCAAACATTTGTAATTTTATTTTTCTGCAGACTTACAATATTACGAATACGTTAAAAATCACTATCACACAATTGTTAGAAGCAAATGGCTATCACATACGAGAAATTTGATTTAAAACAGATAGAACAGCCAATGTTAAGTTAACGAAAATACAAAATTAACTATTTACAGAATACCCAATAATCTTTGTAACTACATATACTGCAGACCTATAAAATTACACAATTCCTTGTTGTACACACATATTCGAATGGAATCCGTTGGACTAAAATACCAATGACTGCTGCACAGAGTGAGTTCATTTACTTAAGGATACAACAAATAAGTAACTACTAATTGAATGAATAATTGTAATTTATTTTTAAAATGACTGTTCTTAACAATAAATCTTTATATTTTTACCAAATGTTTATGAACTATTGAATTACAAATTATTTTACTAAGAATGCTAAGCAAAGGTGGGTCAGCAGAACCGCCTACATGCAAAAATTATAATCTACAAAATCATCAATCGTCAATAAATGGAGGTGGAGGGGAGGTGGTGGTACAGCTTAATTCTAAGTAAATTTTAATTTAGCTTCAATGCTTAATCTGCATCAACTTCTCGCAGAAAGTTGGCGACAACAATCAACAATTTATCATGCCGCTGTGATACGGTTAGAACAAAGAAATCATGCACTGATCACGCGCTGGTGTCAAAGGATTACACAACGTGAGAGTTACTAACTAAATAGGGTTGCCGACCACTAAATATCCTCCTTCCACCTACGGTTGAATACACCTAAAAGATTAACAAGTCCAACTTCTCAATCCAAACCAATTTATATTTGATGAAAGTAACATTTTTCATAATTTTATAATTTTGACAAACTAAATTTTAACTTCATAGGGCTGGTATGTGTTTTAAATTGAAGATGACCTCAATTTGGATTTAATAAAGTAATAACTTTTCAACCAATCTTGATATAATTTAAAGATATAGTTACACTTTCTTTTATTAATTTATCTTACCTGGATAACAGTTTTAGCTAGATTATTTATAATTTCTAGAAAATGCTCGATTAATATTTGCTATATGTGTTTTACATTCATATGCATTTAAAGATCCAGTAACACATTTTTATGTTTTAAATCATAAATATGATGCTCAAATTAAGATTTATCAATATTATTGTAGGTTCCAGTGACATAATACGGATACTCAACTGCGCCAAAATTAAAAATAGATTTTAGTGTATGGTGTATTGTTACAGATAGAAATATGTTAATTGACAAAAAGTTGTTGTCATACCCAAAAAGATAATTGAATCTATCAATGGGTTAGATAGAGGATAGGGAAATCCCAACCCGAGGGTGATTGGTTCCATCGGGAACGAGCCCGATGGAACCGATTGCCCGAGGGTTGGGATTTCCCTATCCTCTATCAAACCCAATGAATGATTATTTTTCTCACTCACCTAGACACACAAGAAGTGAAACTACTTGAGTCTGAGCACGTCCGCAAAAATTCTACTGACCAAGTTTATGTGTGAAAAATGCAATCAAAATAAATTAATATGAGATCCCTCATCAAAAAGCAAGGTTATCATGATAAAACACATCAATAATAAAGTCGGTAAGTGTCTAATATAAGTGTTTGAAAGGAATTAAGCCCATACTTTTATGGTTGACAGAAAGCGTTTACCGTTTGCAAAGATTTTTCTACTTTTTCGGTTATTTTGGCCGAATATTCAATTAAAGTATATCAAAATGAGATCCGTCATCAAGAAGCATCGTTATCACAACAGAAAACATGTTTTTCAGGCAAAGTGTGATAATATCCGATTTTAACATTTTAAAGTGTGCTATTTATAGTAACATATCGATATTGAAAAGGGCGGACCCAGGTAGAATAGGACTCATTGCAGTGTGAAAGTTAATCAATATCAATATATTTTGATTCCGTGGCGTTTAATAGATTAGCTTACATATTTTTAATACATTTTGACCTTTTGACGTTTCATTTTTGTTAAACTAGGAGTGAATCGCGTATGTGTAGGAATACGTTTTTAGAAGTGCTGCACGTTGAGTGTGAGATAAGCCCATGTGAGATAAGATTTTCCAACACCGCTATTTTTAGTAACATTTACGGATTTTTCTATCTGGTTAATGAGAAAACGCTTTCCGTAACAGATAGTCATATGGGACTATAACTTTTTTTAGCTCACCTGTCACAAAGTGACAGGGTGAGCTTTTGTGATCGCTTTTCGTCCGGCGTCCGTCCGTCGTCCGTCCGTCGTCCGTAAACTTTTACTTTAAATGACATCTCCTCATAAACCACTAGGCCAATTTCATCCAAACTTCACAGGAATGTTCCTTTGGTGGTCACCTTTAAAAATTGTTCAAAGAATTTAATTCCATGCAGAACTCTGGTTGCCATGGCAACCGAAAGAAAAAACTTTAAATATCTTCTTTTAAAAAACCATAAGAGCTAGAGCTTAGATATTTGGCATGAAACATCTTCTAGTGAGTGTCTACCAAGTTTGTTCAAATAAAAGCCCTGGGGTCAAAATTGGCCCCGCCCCGGGGGGTCATTGATTTTCCCTATATGCATATAGTAAAAACTTAAAAAATCTTCTTTTAAAAAACCCTAAGTGCTAGAGCTTAGATATTTGGCATCAAACATGTTCTAATATGTGTCTACCAAGTTTGTTCAAATAAAAGCCCTGGGGTCAAAATTGGCCCCGCCCCAGGGAGTGATTGATTTTCCCTATATGCATATAGTAAAAACTTAAAAATCTTCTTTTAAAGAACTCAAAGAGCTAGAGCTAAGATATTTAGCATCAAACATGTTCTAATATGTGTCTACCAAGTTTGTTCAAATAAAAGCCCTGGGGTCAAAATTGGCCCGCCCCGGGGGTCATTGATTTTCCTTATATGTGTATAGCAAAAACTTAAAAATTCTTCTTTGAAAAAACCCAAATAGCTAGAGTTTAGATATTAAGCATAAAACATCTTCTATTGAGTGTCTACAAAGTTTGTTTAAATAAAAGACCTAGGGTCAAAATTGGCCCCGCCCCGGGGTCATTGATTTTCCTTATATGTGTAAAGCAAAAACTTAAAATCTTCTTTGAAAAAACCCAAATAGCTAGAGTTTAGATATTAAGCATGAAACATCTTCTAGTAAGTGTCTACAAAGTTTGTTCAAATAAAAGTCCTGGGGTCAAAACTGGCCCCGCCCCAGGGGTGTCATTGTTTTTAACTATATGTGTATAGTAAAAACTTAAAAAAATCTTCTTTTAAAAAGCCCAATGAGCTAGAGCTTAGATGTTTAGCATGAAACATCTTCTTATAGGTGTCTACCAAGTTTGTTCAAATAAAAGCCCTGGGGTCAAAATTGGTCCAGCCCTAGGGGGTCATTGATTTTCCCTATATGCATATAGTAAAAACTTTAAAAAAATCTTCTTTTAAAGAACTCGAAGAGCTAGAGCTAAGATATTTAGCGTCAAACATGTTCTAATAGGTTTCTACCAAGTTTGTTCAAATAAAAGCCCTGGGGTCAAAATTGGCCCCGCTCCGGGGGTCATTGATTTTCCTTATATGTGTATAGCATAAACTTAAAAAGTCTTCTTTGAAAAAACCCAAATAGCTAGAGTTTAGATATTAAGCATGAAACATCTTCTAGTGAGTGTCTACAAAGTTTGTTCAAATAAAAGCTCTGGGGTCAAAATTGGCCCTGCCCCGGGGGTCATTGATTTTCCTTATATGTGTATAGCAAAAACTTAAAATCTTCTTTGAAAAACCCAAATAGCTAGAGTTTAGATATTAAGCATGAAACATCTTCTAGTAAGTGTCTACAAAGTTTGTTCAAATAAAAGCCCTGGGGTCAAAACTGGCCCCGCCCCAGGGGTGTCATTGTTTTTAACTATATGTGTATAGTAAAATCTTAAAAAAATCTTCTTTTAAAAAGCCTATTGAGCTAGAGCTTAGATGTTTAGCATGAAACATCTTCTTATGGGTGTGTGTGTGGGGGGGGGGGGCTTAAACAGGTGAGCGACCTCAGGGCCATCATGGCCCTCTTGTTTAAAAACATAGCATTTATTATTTAGAAGATCAGGTTCCATACCAAACACATGCTCACAATTTAAAAACAAATCAGCGGACAGAGGTGCACAATAAGAACCTATCGGAATGCCTATTACCCGTTTGAAAAAAAATCATTCGCTAAGTTATAATATTCAAAATGCGAACGCTCGTTAACGCTCTTTCACAAGTCTACATTATTATGTCTCCCAAAATTTTTAGGAGACATATTGTTTTTGCCTTTGCCGTATGTCTGTCCGTCCGTCCGCTCTCACAGAACAGTAATAATGTGGCTAGAGGGGACAATAGGTAACAGTTCTTTCTCTTTGATGTCATTCATTCCGTAATGCTTTTATGTGGCTATTTTCTTTTGTGTGGCTAAAAAGAACAATAGACAGAACAACAGAGTAGTCACATTATTACTGTCCCGTTAGAACGCCTGTTCGACTGTCCGGTTGTCCGTTCGTCCACATTTAGATTGTCCGCCCTTCACAGGTCAAACTACAGGTGGAATTTCAACCAAACTTTACGGGAGTGATCAGTACCATCCTTAGTTGCGGCACATTCCGCTTCGCTACACAAAATGGCCATGGGAGCTAAAAATAGAAAAATCTTGTCCGGCCTTCACAGGCCAAACTACTGCTGGGATTTCAAACAAACTTTACATGAGTGGTCCATACCATCACTAGTTGTGCACAATACCGGCACGTTTTGCTTGGCTGCACAAAATGGCCGCCAGAGCTAAAAATAGAAAAATCTTGTCCGCCCTTCACAAATCAAACTACTGGTGGGATTTCAAACAAACTTTACACGAGTGATCAGTACCAATTAATTCTTTAAATGATTGGAATGCCTTTAAAAGTCTCCGTTATAAAGTCAATAACTTAAAAACTCATGCCAAAGATTTTATTTTAGCAATTTGGAATACTCGTTAGAGGAATCATGTAATAATTATCCCAGGCAATATTGGAAAACAGTCAAATTACTAGTAAAAGAAAACTCTAGTGCATTTAGTTCAATACAATCTCTTATCATTATCAAAATGATAATGAGAAACATTTCACAACTTATTCCGAAAAGGCCAACTGCTTAAATGAATACTTTACTTCCGTTTCAAAAATTGACTCATCAACTACTCATCTTCCGGAATTCGTTTACAAATCAAATAACAATTGAGAAGGTTTTAGCGTAAATACACAAGAACCTTTAGACTTTTGCCTGAAATAAAGAAGTCGGGCCTGATGAAATAATTCATAAATTATTAAAAGAAACTTGATAAGTATATTCTACTCTTTAACTATATTGCTTAATAGGTCTCTCTCTGAAGGTATTTATCCAAATGCTTGGAAATTTGCAAAAGTGATTTAAAATTTTAAAAAGGGTAACAAAATCTCACCATCAAACTATAGACCTACCTGATTGATTAGCGGTGTAGGTCAAAGTGTGGAAAGGGTAATTTTTAAACATGTTTTCAATCATTTACACTCAAAAAATTTAATCTATCCATTAAGTCTGGTTTTATACCCGGACATTCTACGGTATATCAGCTTATTGACATTTATCACCAAATTTGTGAATCATTTGACAAAAACAATCAACATGTATAATATTTTATGATATATCGAAAGTTTTTGATCAAGATCTTACTTTAAAACTTACACAGTATGGTTTTTTATGGTAATTTATTAAATTGCACTATCAATTACTTCTCTGAAAGAAAACAGTCCGTCTTTGTTGGTTCAGACTTATCCGAAACAATTGACATCTCTGCAGGCGTACCCTAGGGATCGGCCTTTGGGCCTCTTTTATTTCTCATCAATGATATTGCCGAAAATTTGATTAGTATAACCTCTTTTCGCAGATAACAGCTCATTTGCCGTTTCATCCATTAACATGCGTTACATAGAATCTAGTTTAAATCACGATCTCGAAATTATCGATGAATGGTCTAAACAATGGCTTGTGGGGTAGCAATTCGTTGGATCTTAACAATAATGAACAAATATTAGCGGCTGTCCAAAAATTTATCAAAACTACTGACCGTTTTCGAAACACCTGATATTTTTGTAAATCGGCCGATTGTATTAATCTTACTTACCTGGTACCATAAATAATTGACAAACACATTTATGTTGGATGTTTGCTCCCTTTGACGAATAATGCTAAATGCTGGGTCCTTCACATTGTCGTTATCATACAAATACATAAATATACATTTTTTCTGTCTTACTTACTTCTTACATTGTTTAAACCTTTTTGATGTTAATCTGTCTTTATCTTTTTTTCTTTGGTCGCTTTGTATGTATACATGTAACACTTTCTCATATAAATGCCATCAATGTTGATTAATATATTTTTTCAGGGGAGGACCGATCGCTAATGTTGTAAGAACTTGGGCCCAACCCTTTTGCTATTTGTTATTTCGAAATCAATTTGTTTCTCTGTTTATTTGCATGTATATATTAGCAAAAAATATGATTACACCACAGTTAGGTAGAGCGTTATTAGCAGGCGATAATAGTGCCAGAAGAGGCTTAAACCCAGATTAATACACTTGTTACTATATATAGTAACAAAATTGCCTATGATTTCAACTGATTATGAGTGTCACGTGACCTATTATGAGTTTGCGGCCCGGGGCCGAGAACTAGTTATCAGCCCGCAGAACATGTGCACGAGCACAAACTGAAACAATGACGTCATATTTAACGTCATGAAACAATTAACTGTAAAAGTGAAAGTAGGTTGACAGCACATCGTATTTAGTACAAACACATTTTTGTTACTGTTGAAATTTGAAGAAATAATACGACACATTCAATCCGAAAAATAAAATGAAAATAAAACTTGCTTCTTTGAACACACAAACAGTAAACATCTCCGTACACAACACAAGAATTTCAACCAAAGAACTTCAAAGTAGATTTCTATTTGTTGTATTTTTCTAATGCTATTAGATCAACCAAGTGTATTAAAGACATTAATACACGTCAGAGTAGGGCCGGAAGGTGATAATCGGCCCTGAATGAATAATGGCCCTCGGGCTAAAGCCCTCGGGTCCATTATTCATTTTGCGGGCCGATTATCACCTTCCGGCCCTCTCTTGCCGTGTATTAACCTCTTACTATATTGTATGTGATAGTTTTGTACCAGATATTGATACTGAGTGTTATTGTCCTGACCGAACCATTAGCCGATCCTCAAAGGATAATAAATGTAAATGTTATTGATACGGCATTCAATTACTTGATCTTTGTATGACAACTTCATTTCAAATAGTAAAAGGTCGTCTTGGTAATGATTTCAACTCAGGTTTATTCGCGTACTTCAATAGCAACCGTTGAAATCATGTAGTACCATTGACAATTTATTAGCGCACGATTGAGAATTTCAGTATTTTGATCATGCATCATTGCGTATGTAACACGTTGTGATTATATACATGATCTATGACAATCTATATAAATTTCACTTCCACGTATTTCAAATGGAATAACGATCATGAGAAAACTTTAGAGGTGGTTTAATTGCCAAGTTGTCCGAATTTAACAAGATATTATTAAACCAAGGAAATCATGTTTCAATTATGTGAACAATATAATGTCTACATTTACAAATATTATTTGTGAGATACTATAAGAAAACCCGAAACTTTTGTTATAGATCGACTATTGATATAATAACAAAATTTTGTTTGAAAATTTTGTTTGACCATGAACGTCGATCATTAAGGTCTATTTACGAGGCGGCATTTAAATAATTTTAAAAGGAATAAAAATCAAGAAAATCAAATAGAGCTTATGATGCAAAATATATCTTTAAGCAGGAAATAAGAAAGAAGAAAATTTGCTTTACCAAAAAATGTCCATTAATGTAACAGAATTAAAGCATAGGTGCCCGCGTGACTTCACGGCATGATAACAACAGGACTGACTTACTGACTTATCTATTAATAATTCAAACAGTATTTTTGTCAAATATTGAACATTTACAGGTAAATGCATCAAAAAGTTGAAACGTTTTTACGACAAAATTAATGTAAGTTTTGATGATGATGGTGTATCTAAAACAATATTTGAGGGACTATCAATCACAGACGTACGCTCTTTTTCAACATTGTTTTGATTAGAGAATTATCAGATGTGCAAACGGTTTAATGAAAGAATCATAACACCGGAGCTGCAGAATTAAATAGAGCAAAGCTTAGACAACAGAAACGTCTGTATTGTACTTTCGTTTAAATGGTAAAATTTAAACAATGTTAAGAAACATGTACAATACTGTAAAGTCGAGTATAAAATTTAAGAATAAATTTTCTGTTTATGTTGAAATCGTCAGGGTCAGACATATTCCCCGACATGCTTTTCCTAATTTATTGAGACATCAGGCCATCAGATAATATCACTCGTCTAATCATTGATGAAGTTTGTCTTGTAATTCTGTTATTTGCCATTTATTTATTGAGGATATTGAATGAGTGTAGGTTTAATACTAAATTTATTGAACTCGTTGAATAAAACAATATCATGCTCGCATTATATGTTTTTTTTCAACTCGTTCAATGGTTTTCGTATTAAACCCCTACACTCATTTCATATCATCTCTATAAATAAATACATAAATAAATAAATAAATAAATAAATAATCAAATAAATAAATAAATAAGTAAATGAAAGGAAAAAAGTAATAAAAAATTGCTATACCATTATGAATTTTACACAGTCATTGACATGACTTCCTTTACAGTATTCATATTGAGTTTTTGCCTAATGTAAAGAGGGCAGTTAGTGTCTTAGTCTAAGTGATTTAAATTTATTAACTATTCATTTGTCAAATATGCTGATTAAAAATGTATTAACCTTTGTCACAACGTGATCCATTCCATCCCGGTATACATCCTGATAAGCAATATCCATAAGTGCGATCACACTTTGCCACTCCGCCTTTGCAGTAGTCGCTACAACTTTCTTTGCAGTTTATTCCATATTCACCAGCAAAACACTCTGAAATTTAAAACCTTTTCATATCAATGATTTTAAACTCAATACATAATGCCATAATAATTTACAAAAAAATATTATGAAATAAAAAATGACAACAAATTCATTCTGAGGGGAGAAAATAGACTAATGACGAAAATCGATCTCGGCTTCAGGCATTATTAACGAGGTCTTAGTGGAATCGTTAAGAGTAGTGTAGAGTCATTAAAGAGGTATTCTATTTCAAATAATTGAAAGAACTATCATCTATGTTTAATGAAGGACAAGCTCAAAATAAACATGGTTTGTGCTTCATGGATTCCTGAATATTGACAGAAGATGAAAATACAAGAGGGTCACGTTTATCTGGCAAGTAAAGCATGTCAACTCACGCTACTAGATTTAATATATTTTCAGTCAAGCGGTCCCTTTAAGGCGCAAACCAAATTAATTTGAGAAAAATTGATTAAAAACCTCTGTGAATGCAACACCCAAAGTTTGGTGATCATCAATCCATGCATTAATTCAGTAGAAGAAGATGTTTGAAAGTTGTTTCTATATTAATCTTTAATGGCCACTGCAAGGGGCCAATCAAACTAATCTGGGCAAATTTGATGAAAGACTACCTAAAACAAAGCTTGGTGATCATCCATCAATTAGTTCAGTAGAAGAAGATGCTAAAAGATGTTTTGCAAATTTTAGCTCTAGAGGCCCCTTAAAAAGCCAATGAAATGGATTTGAACAAATTAACAGACCATCTAAGAATGCTACAGACAAATATGGTAAACAAGATCAACATGGAAATGTGGCGTTCAATAAACGCAACCCCCATACGAATCAGCAACCAAAACCAACGGCCAGGTGCCCAGGAGGAACAAAAACAGGACAGTGCACAAGGCAGAGCACAGACAGGATAATCACGTGATAATAATTAAAAGAAATAATAGTAACCGACAAGGAAATCAAATACAATTGATTGATTAATAGGTCCACAAATTTAAAGGGCACAGGGGAAGGGGACTTGAAGTACGGGGAAGTGGTTGGACAACATTATAGAACAAGAGGGCCATGATGGCCCTGGATCGCTCCCCTGACCCATCAACCGCATCCAAACAATGTCTAAGATAAGCATCCTGGCCAAGTTTGATGACAATTGAGTCAAAAATGTGACCTCTAGTGTGTTAAAAAGGTTTTCCATATTTGGGCAATTTGACCTAATTTTTAACTGGAGACGACCCATATTCAAACTTGACCTAGAAATCATCAAGACAACCTTTCTGACAAATTTCCATAATATCTGGATCAAAACTGCAGCCCCTACAGTGTTATAAATATTTTTCTACTTTTAGCTCCTGTGACCTAGTTTTTGACCGGAGATGACCCATCTTCGAACTTGACCTAGAAATCATCAAAACAACCTTCCTGACAAATTTCAAGAATATCTGGATCAAAACTGCAGCCAGTAGAGTGTTAACAAATGTTTCTATTTTTAGATCCTGTGACCTAGTTTTTGACCGGAGATGACCCATCTTTGAACTCGGCCTAGAAATCATCAAAACAACCTTCCTGACAAATTTCAAGAATATCTGGATCAAAACTGCAGCCACTAGAATGTTAACAAGATTTTTTTATTTTTAGCTCCTGTGACCTAGTTTTTGACCGGAGATGACCCATCTTCGAATTAGCAAAACAACCTTCCTGACAAATTTCCAGAATATTTGGATCAAAACTGCAGCTACTAGAGTGTTAACAATTTTGTTTTTATTTTTAGCTCCTCTGACCTAGTTTTTGACCGGAGATGACCCATCTTCGATCTTGACCTAGAAATTATCAAAACAATCTTCCTGACAAATTTCTAGAATATTTAGATCAAAACTGCAGTCACTACAGTGTTAACAAGCTTTTTCTATTTTTAGCTCCTGTGACCTAGTGTTTGACCGGAGATGACCCATCTTCTAACTTGACCTAGAAATCATCAAAACAACCTTCCTGACAATTTTCTAGAATATTTGGATCAAAACTGCAGCCACTAGAGTGTAAACAAGCTTTTTCTATTTTAAGCTCCTGTGATCTAGTTTTTGACCGGAGATGACCCATCTTCGAACTTGACCTAGAAATCATTGACAAATTTCCAGAATATTTGGATCAAAACTGCAGCCACTAGAGTGTTAACAAGCTTTTTCTATTTTTAGCTCCTGTGACCTAGTTTTTGACCGGAGATAACCCATCTTCGAACTTGACCTAGAAATCAATAAAACAACCTTGCTTACAAATTTCCAGAATATTTTGATCACAACTGCAGCCACTAGAGTGTTAACAAGCTTTTTATATTTTAAGCTCCTGTGACCTAGTTTTTGACCGGAAATGACCCATCTTTGAACTTGGCCTAGAAATTATCAAAACAACCTTCCTGACAAATTTCTAGAATATTTGGATCACAACTGCAGTCGCTAGAGTGTAAACAAGCTTTTTCTATTTTTAGCTCCTGTGACTTAGTTTTCGACCGGAGATGACCCATCTTCGAACTTGACCTAGAAATCAATATAACAACCTTCCTGGCAAATTTTCAGAATATTTGGATCAAAACTGCAGCCACTAGAGTGTTAACAAGCTTTTTCTATTTTTAGCTCCTATGACCTAGTTTTTGACCGGAGATAACCCATCTTCAAACTTTATCTAGAAATCAATAAAACAACCTTCCTGACAAATTTCCAGAATATTTGGATCAAAACTGCAGCCACTAGAGTGTTAACAAGCTTTTTCTACTTTTAGCTCCTGTGACCTAGTTTTTGACGGGAAATGACCCATCTTCGAACTTGACCTAGAAATTATCAAAACAACCTTCCTGACAAATTTCTAGAATATTTGGATCACAACTGCAGCCACTAGAGTGTTAACAACCTTTTTCTATTTTTAGCTCCTGTGACCTAGTTTTTGACCGGAGATGACCCATCTTCGGACTTGACCTAGAAATTATTAAAACAACCTTCCTGACAAATTCCCAGAATATTTTGATAAAAACTGCAGTCACTAGAGTGTAAACAAGCTTTTTCTATTTTTAGCTCCTGTGACCTAGTTTTTGACCGGAGATGACCCATCTTCGAACTTGACCTAGAAATCATCAAAACAACCTTCCTGACAAATTTCCAGAATATTTGGATCAAAACTGCAGCCACTAGAGTGTTAACAAGCTTTTTCTATTTTTAGCTCCTGTGACCTAGTATTTGACTCGAGATAACCCATCTTCATTTCATTGAGACAAACATTCTGACAAAGTTTGACACTGATCCAATCAAAACTGTGAATGCTAGACTGTTAACAACCCAATTGTTGACGACGCACGACGCACTACGCACGACGCCGGACATAGCCCCATCACTTTACCTCACCTTGACCTATTCGTGGTCAGGTGAGCTAAAAAGATAAAACTAGAGGGGAAAGGGGAGATACTTACCGTAGACCAGAAGATAACAAATGACACAAACTAAAAATCTTGAAACAAGTCTGATTGAGTCTGTACATGAGAGAAAATGAATACTTGCAACGTCCCTCACGCCCCTAGCACCGGCTTGAGCGGTACTCAATTCTCAACACTTAATAGTGCTGGCATCAATGATCCCGAAGGACCAGAAAAATATAACAACACTGAAGTGAAGTTTGGGGCAACATTTTACAGCTGTCACACAACACTTGACACCTGATGTTGTGTAGTATAAAAATCTGAAAACAAAGTGACCCCTCGCAAGCATTAATCACAACAAAATCATAAGATAATTTCACACTAGGTTTGATTGAAAGAGGGATATTAAAAACGTGCAACATCCCTCACGCCCCCTAGCACCGGCTTGAGCGATAAAGTGTTACCAAAACAGTATGAAACAAAAAAAATAATCTGGAAACAAAGTGATCTCTCGGAAGCATTAATCACAACAAAATTACAAGAAAATTGCAGACTCGGTTTGATTGAGTCTGTGATTTTGTTTTGTTTTTGATTGGGTTTTACATCACACCGACACAGACTAGGTCATTTGGCGACGTTCCAGCTTTAATGGTGGAGGAAGACCTCAGTTGCCTTTCCGTGCATTATTTCAGGCACGAACGGGCATCTGAGTAGAACCACCGACGTCCGTAAGCTAGCTGGATAGCTTCCTCACATGAAAGAATCCAAAGTCCCTGTCGGGATTCGAACACACAGCGGTGAGGGACAAGTTGTTTGAAGTCAACGACCGTAACCACTCGGCCACGGACACCCCGATTGAGTCTGTACATGAGGAATAATGATAAGGTGCAACATCCCTCGCGAAGACATTAAAAGAAGAGTTTAAACCGGTTAATGGTGCACCAAACCTCACTCTTAGCCCAATCATGTTCCTATAAACGAGACGGTGAAAATAAAATAAATCCCCGCCAAGTGAAATTCCAATAGTTGTTATGGTTACAAAAAAGGTGAAATAAGTAAAACATCGACATGATCATGTAGAAACATGCATAAAAAACAACAGTGACCATAACAAAAGTACTCAGTGTCTTAAAGGATGACAAAGCATCAATAAAAACACCTACAATGGTCCGGCGAAGCAAGGCAGAAGACGAACATTACGGCAATTCAGTCTCAAAAGACTTTAAAAACTGTCCATCATAGAGTCTCCCACTTGGTTCGTCAGATGTAATCAATAGAGGAAAGCGTAGCGTCCATCTGTAAGAGGGTTGAACACTAATCATGCGGTATGTATTAAGAATAGTTTGTACATAGCATCCCCATGAATATCAGGCTGGCTTATCCCTTGTCGCAGAAGTATTTTTAAATCACTATTGAATTTTGAAATTAAATCAAAGTTACGAGTGTAATATCTTGTAAGATGTTTACATAATTTATAATAGCGGTAGCCTTGTTTGAGTAGCTTGCTAGTAATGAAACTCGCTCGTTAAAATCCTTTACGTTGCTACGAGCTCTAACGAACCTAAATAAATGAGATATATATATACCCTGTAAGATGTTGCATGCGGTACGTCTCCATCTAAAT